ATAACGAAAATAAAGATCACATAAAATGCCGTCTGGTGGGAAAGTTGGTGTTAACGTGTGCCAGGGTGCACGCAAATGATATTTTGCATTGATCGGTTGTTACTCAAAGAACACAATCCCAATGGATGTTTACACAGTTATTGTCGATCTCGCCACGCGCGGATCTAGGGAGAGGCGCCCCCTCTTCAGCCCACAAAAAAATGACAAACCCAGCCAACGTCAATAGGAGCGCGCCCGGCCCTTACCGAATTTCTGGATCCGCCAGTGCTCGCCATGTGGTAATGGACGTACTTCTTTCGGTGTGTCTCCCCTGGCTAATCTGCTCAGCACCTGGATTTTTTGGTTTTGGTTTGTAACGGTTTTGTTTGACGATTTTGACTTTGACGGGCCCCACTTACGCTATGAGCTATTAGTTTCAAAACTAAGTTATAGACCATGGAATTAAAAAATCTTTTTTTAGCTCCATGGTTAGACCGGCAACTGATTTTAGTTTTAGTAAAGACTTGTAAGGACTCGTATAACAAGAATGACCTTTTTTCCCACCGCAGCGGTTAAAAGACAACGGGACCATAATAAACAACATGATTTAATAACATAGTCGATGAAATTCGCAAAAATAACGGTATTTTTCGGGCAAAAAATGCAAATCATCGACCATGTTGAAGGTCACGACTTTTCACGTATTATTATGGTTATTACTGTGTTGATTAATAACGCTTGCAAACATGACTTTATTTAACATGGATCTCTAAACATTGAAGAGATAACATTTTTGAGTCAAAACAATCGATTGCTTTGGGTGACAAGCTAAGCAGCACATTGCACAACTTGAACATGCATTGTCTTCAATGAATTCATCAACGACATATTTGGCTGCACTCAAAACATCTCTTATGATTGATTAAAAATACAAAAGTGCTGATTTGTCGCAAGTGATAATGTTTTACAGATTATTAATACACTTGGTGTCATACACTGTCAGCTGCCCATATGCCACATACTTGCTAAAATCGACCCGTTGTTGTTTTGAAAAAAATATCTAAAGTATGAAATATTGCAGTGTTCGCAAATATGAGGACTTTGTAGGTTCGTCGACATTTCGTCCGTCGAAAACAGAGAAACGGCATCTGTATTAGGTGCCGAGGCTACAACACCGGCGATAGAATGACTGTAGTCAACACGAACTGAGCAATGAACCAGTTGCCGATAGTCCTAAAGTCCCGTGTGCATGATGAAATAACGAAACAAAACATACTAGTATAATTCCATGATATGTTTGTTTTAATGTTGCCCCCGGCAGACACGGGTGATTACCGTTTTGCATCAATACGAACCACAGCGAGAATTGACGTCATTCACGGACATGAAGTTTTAATGTCTTAGTCTAAAGGACGCAATTTACAATATTTCATGTATAATGGGAATAGATAGCTACATAGTCTCAAATTGTTTTCTTTTCTTCTTCTAGTCAAACTCGTGTCTGGCGCTTCCCGCCGTGCAAATCAAGACGCATATGGTGCCAGTGCAAAAGTGGCATAATAATGAATTCTCAGCATCGATTTCAATAACTGTGAAAAATGGGATTTAAAAGACAAAATTTAAATTTTAGTGGTTTTTTAATCCCAATAAACTTAAAAGTATTTTTTTTTTTTTTTTTTTTTGCTTTTTTAAAAATTAAATTTTAGATGTTTAAATCTGCACCGAATAAAAGTAGATTTTGGAAATGTTTTTAAAATGACATCTCTTTGCCGTTAGCATATTGTCATCATGTGTTAATGTAATGCTTTATGAATTAATAGTGTGCAAACATGCACCGACAAATCATTAGTGTAATAAACCTAGACAATAAGTCAATGAAACCAACCCGAATCCCGCTAACATTTGAACTTGTGAGCTCATCGCGTGACACAGGTAACATCCTCGCGTAAACTTACAATACACACTGCATTATGTTGATATACTAGAAGCGCCTCACTTTTTAAATTTAATGACGCAACAATAATGACTGGTAATTATCGTAATTGTACAAATATTTCAACATTATCATATATATACTAGTACGCATCAATCTTCATAACGCACTTACGTGATACTTACTTATATGTATATGTTTATTGTCAAATAAAGGCGTTCAGTGTAAGTAAACTCTACCTATGACATATAGACTTACTCGACCTATGACGTATGACTACATACTTGGGTACCTAAATAGGTGACATTAAAATACCCATCATGCCCTGCGATACATGTCAGCCTATTTTATCACATGATTTCTTCATTAATAGGAGCTGCACTGTACACGTACTTTAGGCATGGGAATGTTACTTTTATTTGTAATTGTTGTATGTACTTCAAACACAGGTGAGTTAATGTATATATTTAATATCATATAATAAATAATGACAAGTAAACACCGTCTAATAATGATACGTTACATAAGACTTCTTAGTTCCAAAGTACACAAGGGCAAAGTATGCTTTGACTACAATAGTTGGCACACTTATTATGATTACTGTGCAAGTTTCACTGCTCAAACACACATTGTTTAGCCACATACAAAACCAAAAACAACACTGAAAAAAACACAAGGTTTAGTGGATAAGGTTGTTGTACAATAGTATACGATAAATCAAGAGGGCCTTTGTTCATCATCGAGGTGGGTGTAATGACCCCATTCCGCAAGAATGAAAGAAAAGTTAAATGATGTTTACATAGTCTATTTACCGTCGCTAAAACACGTTCGCCCAGAACATGACATTTTGCCATTGTGAATGTATGCTAGAACCACAGTTGTCGATTTTGTCAGTAGTGGCGCTGTTCAAAATTATGTACTCCAATTTGAAAACAAAAAGTTTTCCAACAGTACAGTTACATCAATAATCTGCAGATATTGTCGTAGGATACACTCGACTGTTTAGATAACGATTGGGGGAATAGGCATTTTCGTTGTTCAACTAAATATTAGCAGTGGCTCCACAAATTTAGCATTTAATTAAAACAATTTACATAGCAAATATTTTTCGCAGAAAACAACCCTCAAATGTCAGATATAAACATTGATCAATTTGTGATATTGAATATAATGGTAATCCTGCTTTGAATTATCTTTTCAGTTGCGTACTTAGATATTACATTTTACAATAAGGAGGCATTATTGAGTCTGGCTGATAGTAATTACTACATTGGAGGGTATTCAGCAGGCAGTGATGAAACACATCCTTTACATATGGTAGAGTAATCGATACAGGTACAGGGGAGGCACTACCAAATGGATAT